CACCGCTACTGTCTGGGTTTTCCTCGACTACGGCTACTACCATGTAATTCATCATTTTGTGGCATTGCTGCTGCTGCAAGCGTGCGTTCGCATTCCATCCAAGGTTGCCCCACAGATCCGCCTCACAGCTCTCTGTATGTGTGTTTGTGTCTTGCCTTCTCGCTCTCTCTCTCTCTCTCTAACTTTACTTTGACAAATTGCAACTTTTCGATAAATTCGAATCATTTGTCATTGACACAAATAGCTTTCAAATTGCATAGCCAAACACTCACACACACACACACTCACCGAGAAACACTCATACACTCATTTGCTGAAATGAGTGGGGAGCACAGGGGGGAGGGCATTGCATTGGGGCGTATAATTGTGGCTGCTGCCGTTTGTTGTTGTTGCAACCAAAACAACATTCGCAGCGGAAATTCCCAAATACAAACAAACAAATCGCAATCTTCGAATGATCTTCGAGGGAAGTGTGGCCAGAGTTGTCTTAGAAAATATTAAATATACAAAGGAGCAAAAGTTACAGATTTATTTCCTGAAAAATACCCAAAAACGAAGTTAATTTTAGTTACAAAAAATATAAATAAATTCTTCAAGGTACCCAAGAAACCCCAAAATCTACGCTTCTCTTGTACGGTCACACCAAAAACCACAGACCACATCGGCAACGCAAAGCTCGTTATCTGCTTTTGCTCTTTGCTTGGTTGGTGGCATGCCCCAAAAGTAGTTGTTGCTGCTGCTGCTGCGACTGCTGCTTGCAGCATGCTTGTTGTGGATATTGTTGTTGCTGTTGCTCGTTGTTTGTCGGCAATTTTCAAGCTGTTTCTGTTTTCAACAACAATCGCCAACAGTTGCAAGCAAGCAAGGTAATACATGAAAGGTGAGGTGCGGGCCAAAAATTGATGATTTTGGGAGTGTATCCCCAAAGAGAAGATGCAGTAGGAAGACTTCAACAATTATCTTCCATTTCAAACGTTAACAAAGGAAGAGACTTAGTGAAAAAGACACACAGAAGATCACATCATCTGCTTCAGCCAAAAATTACTCTTAGGGCAAATCAACAGCAGCCAAAAGCAAAAGAAAAACCGCAAAATTAGGTCACCCGCACAGCTGAACGACTGGACCCTGCCTCACCTGCCTGTTCGAATACACCTTGGTGGCAGGCAGCCTTCCTCCAACGTGCCACCTCTGCCTGCTCAATGTGCGACACGACGCGACGCGACGCGCGACTCGAGTCGAGTCAAGAGTCTCCTCCAGCGCTCACCTTCTCGCTGTCGGCGTCTCTGTACCCCCTACCTCTCTCTCTCTCACTCTGTCCTGCTCTGTCTCGGCTGCCCTGAGCCGTGCGCCTCGCTAGCCATCTCCCTCTGGCACATGGCCTCTCAATGACCCAGTTTTCAGAAGCGGAATGTAAACAAATTTGACCTGGAAAAAAAGAGTTTTTGTTTTGTAAACAAACCGCGGCAGCGACGCCTACTGAGACTGCGACTGCGACTGCGGCTCAAGCAGAGGTGGCTTCAAATCTGACCAGGTGTGTGTCTGTGTGTGTGTAAGTGTGCGTGTGGATTGCGTTTTTGGCTTTTAATGACAGCAAAAACAGCAACAACAACTACGGCGCAAAAGCAAAAAAATAGCAACAATGAAAGCGAAAAAAAATGCGCTAACAAAGTAATTTACGAAATAAATGAAATAGTTGCGGTCTTTGAAAAAGAGTAATCACAAAGGAGCAGAGTAGAAACGCAAGCGAAGGGAAAACGCGAGTGCGGAATGAATGAGTAGTGAAAGGGAGAGAGAGGGAGCTCCCAAGCAGAGAAATCGCCAAAAACAAAGAGGAAGATGCCGCCGCTTATTAGTGAAAATTTGTGGTACACGCAAAATAAAGACCATATAAAGATACTCTCCAAGAAAAGACTCGCAGATCCAGTGATTTTAGAGACAATATGCACAAGGCAATGACAATTGATCTTTAGATTAGAGTGGAAAGATCTAGATCTAGATCTAGATGTGGAGGCAACACTTAAAGTCTGTTCTGTTTACAGATAACTTTCCCCAGAGGTACAAAAAATCCAAAAATCAACCCATCTAGCTCGGGTAGGGAAATTTCAACTATCGTTTTCATGCCACATTTCAACTAAGTACCATACCACATTGTACTTTTCCTGCTATTTATGTACCATGACAGTTGCCCTAGACATCCACTCTTGACCTCTTCTGCGCCATTTGCATACACATTTCCTACCAACTGTGGTTCCCATGTTTCTCAGCATAACCCTCGATGATCTCATAACTCAATGAACTCTTTGACCTCCACTTTCACTATCTCTCTTTCGCTATCCGTCGCTCCGCCCCTCTACTTTGCCATCCATCCATCTCACCATCCATCCATCCCATTCAGCATTTCTCACATTTATTATACCGTTTGGAGGTTTTTCCCCCGCCATCATTTCTCATTTTTTAGCAAATTTTCTCCCCGCTTTGGTTTTCTTTTCTTGTTTTTTATTTGTTTGCATTAGCATAAAAAAAATATGAAATTCCGAAAAGAGTTTCATTAAAATTATTTGTGTTTTTCCTTTGTTGCGGTTTTCCATTCCATTCGCGCGCTTGTGCTGGAGTTGCCTGATGTTTTTTTTTTTGGCCAAGCTTTACCTGCCACTGCCACCCCCACCCCGCTACCAACGGCTCCTTTTCCCCACTCCACCATAGAGCAGCGGAGCACAGATTTGTTCGTTTTTTGCGAATTGGAATTGGAATTGGCTCACGTAATAAATATCATAAATTGCGTTTTACTTTGACATACATTAGCCGAAAGCGTACCGCTATGAACCGTGTACCGCTCGCTCTCAAAATGAATGAACAACGCTCTCTTTTTTGGCATGTATTCCATGGCTAAATACGCTAAGTGAGGGTATTGCGATTTGCTGGATGTCTTTGGTATAGAACGACCTTAAAACAGATATATGGAACAAACTAAAATAAAATGTTCAAAGTAGTATTTTCATTTGCCATGGAACATAGTTTTTCGGCAACAAATATCTTTGTTTTGTGGTGTTTTCACTACCAAATCAATAATTTAATTAACTTTTCATCCACAACAAATGTCTATATAATTATGTTGCCTTGGGGAAACGATAGATCTGTGATATCTGTGCGAGTATATCATCAGTTCCGGCCCTGAATACACTCTCTTTTTGTAGTTGTTGTTGTTTGTTTATTTATTTGTCTTGTTTTTATGATTATTGTTGTTTTCACTTGAGTTTCGCTTTTGTTTTTGTTTTGGTTTTCGTTGCGTTTCTTTTTGCTGTTTTCTATTTTGTTTTTATCAGCGAATTTGTCTGCGGGGCTTTCTCTCTCTCACTCCGCAAAAAATACTCCGCCCCTCCATACAGAGTAAATCTCTCCCTCCTCCCATTGTATTTTGCTGTGACAATTGTGGAATGTTATTGTTATTGTCACTAAATGTCATTTCCATCATGATAAAGCTCATCATCATCAACAGAACAGTCATGGGCACTTTTCGGGGGAAGGTCAAAAAACAATTTTTGCATGTTTTTGCGCAGATTTTTTTTGTGTGCAGCACAACAAAATAATTATTTTTTCTCGGTTTTTCTGTGTTTTTGTATGTATGTATGTATGTGTGTGACTTACGTGTCGTATGAGTAATTTGTTATTTGTTTATTCATTTATTAAATTTTGAATTGTGTTCGCATCAAAATAAAAATAATTAGCGAACGAGAAAGATGTACAGAAATCGACAGAAAAGAAAGGAAAATTTCAACTGAGAGAAGGGGTGGAAAAACCCACTGCAAAAATACCAACAAGACACGCAAAAAGGAAATCTGCGGCCAAAAGAAAAAAAAAAACAAAACTCTAAAAGACTTGTTGTTTGTCAGCGATAATACTTGCAACAACAGAAATCAGAGGGGGGGTGTGCCACAGCAACAAATGCAACAGTAAAAATAAACAGACGGAAGACAGCAACAAATGCAATGAAAAATATACACAGAAAATAAAAACAACAACAAATTCAACAAAAAACTACACAAATAACAACAAGCTGAAAAAATAACAACAAAACAAACAAACAAGAAAAATGAAAGAAAATATAGAAAAACATTGGGAGGCGGTAGATGCCCTTAAAGATGGATCTTTCCTTAGATAAAAGTACATTTTGATGGTATTTATGACTAACGATAAAAGCGAGCAAATCAAATACAGATTCTGCAGAGCTGCGAATGGAATATCTTGGGAAACAGAAGAGCTTATTCTTTCCCTCATTATTCCACAGATTTATCCCGCTTTGTCTTGCAAAGATCTACTCAAAGTCGAAATACCCTCCCCAAGATGGTAAGAGCATCGAAAAACTGCAACAAAATGTGTCATTTTTTGCACTGCACTTCACTTTGCAACATTGTTGCAGCAGCAGCAGACAGACAGATGCACAGACTGGAGAAGGGGTGCCGAAGGGGTACACAGACGGTGTCCGTTGAATGGAATTGTCTGAATTGCATTTGCAAAAACAGACACAGACACAGGCACAGACAGAGAGATAGGAGGAAAAACGAGCAGAAAGTGAAAGATGATCGCGTTTACCAGGCAAGAGAGAGAGAGTGAGTGAGAGGGAGTATAGTCTGGAGAGGAGTGAGTGTGATATATAGTGAGTGATATATAAATATTTGTGGATGGTGGAGTGCAGAGACATGCCGTAGAAGGTTCGGGTTCGGTGCCAAGGTGCCGGAGGAGCAAAAATCTCACACAATGGGAGCGTGGAGCAGCGTGAGTAGGCAAAATATTTGCAGTTTTTGGTATGCCGTAACATTAACAGGGTATATTTCATATATAACAGAAGATTGGGAGAATATAAATCTAAAACTAAAAGATATTCGATTGAACATTCGCGATATAATGCCACCCCACGAGGTCTACATTAATATATCGGATCTCTATGAATTACATTCAATTAATTCAATCAATAATTCAATCTAGGTAATATTAATGTTTACCTTCTACACAATTTGTCCACTTCCTGCCAATATTTTAGGAGAAGTTTGCATGCTAAAAGAGAATCAAAAAGAGAATTTTATAATAAATTATTTAAATTCCATTCATATTCGATTGCAGTGAAGGGAATAATTCATAAAATAATCATAGAAAAAATATATTCCCAAAATTAGATTTTTCGCAGTGTACTTGCAGCTTCGATCTCCATGAACCCACTTGGACTGCTTACTTTTTGCATAATTTGTTGTTTGCCAAACAGTTAACTATGATTCCATTGCATGGCTAAGAAAACCCTCTCAAAGCCTCTCTCTCAGACCGCCTTTTCCCCGGACAATCATCTCCCTTGCTCTGCTTTGGCTGGTGTGCTAATGACTTCAATGATTTGCAATTGCCTTCTCCGTCGCAAGTCCGTCTCCGGTTCATGTCTCCGGTTGAGGGATCTTCTTCCACACGCTACCACAGACAGCAACAATGTTGTGTGAGCCGCAGCGGCAGTGGCAGCATCATTAAGTCGTCGCGTCATCATCAGTCGCTGCACTAAACTTAATTTTTTACAAGTCTGCCAGATTTGGAGTGGGCTAAGGGAGGGGCGCCACAGGTTTGAGGGGGAGCCACAGGTTTGAGGGGTAGCCGAAAGGGTTAAGGGGTGAACCCTAGAGAGGCTTTAAGCAGAATCAAAATAAATAAAAACTTGAGAGCATTTTGCTGTTGTTGTTGTTGTCGAGCGCTTAAGTTGTTTGTTCCTCTGTTTGTCCGCCTCTCTAGAGGCATTATTCATATGCAACATTGTTGCAGCGGCAGCACCCAGAGGCAGTGGCAGAGTCAGAGTCAAATCCAGACAGACATAATGAATGCTGAATGGAGCATGAGGCATGAGGAATGAGGCAGGGGAGCGCTTGCGGCAGTGGCAGTGGCTGTTGTAGCAGACAGAGTTGATGGCCAGAGCATTTTGTGTCATGCCGCTGCTAATAGATCTGGCAAACAGTGTGAAAAGGAACCACTGACAACTGATTGGAGGAGCCTCTGGAGTAGGGGCAGGGGCAGGGGCAGGCGGAAGCTGCCACATTGACGGGTTCCTGTTAAACGGATTTTTGTACTTCTTTTACACAGGTTGATGACTTCGCAAATGATGATTATGCGCAGACCGCAGGGACAGTGGTATAATAAAATATATGATGGAGTTTAGGAGCTAAACATCATGGTTATACGATTAAGAGAACACACAGGACGCGACTTCCAAAAGGAAGTAAAGGCAACGAAATATTCTGATGCATCCGCAGATCGTTTACCCCCAGAAAAGAGGAAAGTTGGTTCCCAAATATCGAACATCTTTTCCTACATTTGTGATCTTGTTATCCCCCCAATAAAAACGATTGTCATAAATTGTGTGTAAATTTCCTTCCTGGCCTAAGGAAAACTACCTTCTGGCTCGAAAAAAAAGCCAAGCCATGAATTATAAGGCGATTATTTATCGATAAACTCGAGGCGAACTCCGCAGACCACACAGGTGGAGGAAGCCTTTTTTAGGGGTTTCGGAGGGAAGTTTTTTCGCGTTACGCGAGATTTATACACACGACCTGGGCAGGCATACGCCTACTGAACACGACTACTGCGCTCCTACCTCTTTACCCCTCTCATAAAGCACTTCCCATCATCTCTCTCAAACCCCTATAGTCTAGACCATGCCCCACTGAGCTGCCAAAGAAAACAATTCATATTTTCTCCTCATTTTGGCGCTGGCGTTGCAACTTTGTAGCAAACGAAGGCGGGAAAAAGTGGGAGGCATGGCATAGCGGATTGCTGCAGAGGATTGCAGAGGGTACGGTGGAAGGGTTGGGCTAGCAAGCGGTAATCGAGCATACAAGCGCATTAAGCACCAGACAATTATGTTGCGGCAACATTGTTGCAGTCAAGCGCCGCCGCCGCCGCCGCTGCAGCAGGCATCGAGAGAATGATGACGACGTCGACAGCCACGCCTCCAGCACTGCCTGCCCCACCTGTCCGCGTGCCACCCATCCTCCCTCCCCACTCCACGCTACCATTCTGCAAAAGATGTTGAGCGAAGAGCTTTAGTTTGTTGTTTTTTTTTTGCCTTCAACATGCGTAATTTAAAATTAGTCAGCTGGAAAATGTTATGAGGCCGAAGTCATAAAATGTGGCTAAAACATGACGATGCGAGATGGCAGAGAAATTGCAGTCGGTTGGGGGTGTGGGGCGGAGATACTTCATTAGCGTGGACTGTACTTAAGTTGAGCCACTAATTTGTGGGTGTTTCTGCTGTGATGTCCCAACAAAATTAGTTTTAAGTATTTTTGCATATTTGTTTTGCTACTTTGTTGTATTTCTAGCAAGACTTGTGTAGAGTTTTTTAACTTAATTAAAAAATGGATAATTTCTTTGGAAATTCTTGGATATCTAAAGCACATTTCCTTGCCCTCCATAATGACAAATCGTTCACGTTGCCATGGCCATATCTTTCACTACCCATCTGGTTGCTGCTGAGTCTCAAACATAATGACCGAAACAACGCTTTGCCAACAAAAATGTTAATTAAAATGTTAACAGGAATGTGACAGCGCCATGCACCCTCCTCCATTATATGTCCGCCGCCTTCATTGCAGGGATAATCAAAAACCAATATCAAAAGTTGATACACCCCCCAACCCACTCCACACCCTCGTTCGCTCCCACTCTTCGCTGCTGCGTCATCATTTGATATTCATGAGGCGGCGGCAGTCGGTGAAATTTTCGAGTAGAAAGAAACGGAATTTCATCCACACTCGCAGAGCGAGTCCACACAGTCACGTCCTTTGCGGAAGGACCTGCAGTGCAAAAAAAAAAGCAAAAACAAAATTTAAATAAATGCTCGTGTAGTCCTCCGGTTGCCCGTCCGCCCCCCTGTCTCTGACTTTTACAAATATACTTATATTTACGTACATTTTTCCCCTGCTGTTTTTTTTTTCAGCCAGGACATTTGACCGAGTCCATTAGCAGGGAGTCCAGAGAGCAACTCGCTTTTGGCCATAATCACCTTGTTTGTCGGCCGGAACACCTTTAATGGGCAACAGTAGGGTCGGGTCGGGCGTCGGCATGGTGTAGGTGTCGTTATGGCGGATAATCATTGTCAGGTCTGGCAACCTCCTGTAAGGCGAGCGCGACACGGGGAGAATGTGGCATGGGGATGACAGTCGGTTGGCATTCCGAGGGCGGTTGGAGGCATCAAATAAACGTAATTCAATGCACATAATGACAACATTTCCATTTTTGACTTTTAGTCTTACTCTTCCTCTTCTTTTGGGGGATGGAAAACAGCTGTCACAAGGGGCGACGGCGACGGCGATGGCGTTGACGATGGGGAGGGCTTAGAGAGGCTCTTTGTTGGTATTTGCATATGGCCAATTGGGCAATGTCAACGTTAAACCAGAAGAGGAGCAACTTATCGAAGTCAAAAGTCAGCAAAAGATGATTACAGGGCGGAGGGCATTATGGAACGGCAGGAGGTCTCCATAATATTCATAATTCATATAAATAGGGGATGGTGTAGGGCATATTTGGGGAGGGTTGTTTACCAATTAGATGGAAATGGAATTGGTTTTTGGGCACACGATTTTGTGCTACTAATAGAAGGGATTACTGTATGGGCAGAGCTGTGTGGCTCAAGAAACTGTTGCGTTATATCCTGAAGTTACTGAAGTTACTCTTCTCTATCTCTATTTACTTGCCACCCACTTTACCTCCCCAACATCTCTCCCTTTCTGTGTGGTGTTGGAGTAAAACTTTATTTGGTTTGGATTTGTTGGTTTGGTTTGGATTTGGATTTGATTAAAACGACATTACAAATATGACGAAAATCGAACATCAATCGAACATTATATCGATCGATAACTACAGCTACAACATTCATGTATATATATCGATAACGATATGTGATGTGTGGGTGTGTTTGTGTAATTAAATCTTATGCACTAATTGGAACTGTTTTTTGGATTAAGGTTTTTCTTGGTGCATCGAATGAATGTGTACTCTTTGTTGTTTTTCTTGTATCTTTGGTGTGTTGCAACTGAAACACGTAGTCGATAACCATGTTGGCCACATCCTTGAACCATTTTTCTCCAGGCACAGGCACTGACACACACTTGCACCCAAACACACACACACACACAAACAGCATATACTGTAGCACTCTTGGGACGCCCCACTCTCGCTCTCTTTCGTTCGTTCGCTCTCTCTCTCTCTCTTTCGCACTCACACAAACAACTGAAAACGTTGCACATACGACCCGTATGCACGCTAGTTGCCACACAAAAACCCATCGCCAGAACCGACGAACGTCGACGCCTTAAACCTCCTTTTCCATCTCCTTCTCCTGCTTTCCTGTGTTTCGATTGGATGCAGCCAAGTGTTATGCAACTACTTAAAGGACTTTATCATGTGATTTCTGTGTGATTTGCGTTGTTTGAGTTGTGATTTGTGTGTGTCTGTGTCTGTGTGCTGCTCATCCTTCTGGGAATCCTTCTCCTGACGATGCTGCTCCTCCTCCTCCTTCTACCGCCAGTTGCTCGTCTCCTTACAGAAGATAGCATTTCCGACGCCAACAGGAACAGGTGCAGTGCACATGACGATAGTAGCGACAGAGGCACTTCAGATACTTGTATCCCGCACAGCAATGATGCGAATGCGTGTGCGAATGCGAATGGTAGTGACTGTAGCAGGACCCACTGTCATGCAGACAATACGAATAGCATCCACAGTCGCACATCTTGGCTCTGGTTAGATCTAGGGATCTCTTCCTGGCTCTTCCTGCGGATGGGGGGGATCAGCTATGTCCCTGCTCCTTTGATGGCCTCAACTCAACTGATTTCTGGCCAACGCTTCAACTTTCAACTTGGCTTAGGTTAGTTTGATGCTCACCATGGCAACCCCGCTGGGGCGAACTCGTTTGATCGATCATTTGGTTGGAAATGAAAGGATATTTGCGTATTTGGGTGGCCAACATTCGTACCACGACACGGTGCGGGGCATCCGTTATATGGGTTACCAGCATTTGTTGTTATTATTTCTGTTGTTGTTGTTGTTATGGCAATGTAGAAAATCATGTCAATTGATTTTACTTAACCAACAACCAAAAACTCTTCTTTTCCGTGAGTGTGTTTTTCGGATTTCTGTTTCCTGTTATTCGTATTATTTAGTTGTGGTTTATTACAGCGGTTCATGGCTGACAGACAGAGGGTATATCTGGTTCTTACAAGGCTCGTTTTGGGTCTCAACAATATTTGCAGAAATTATAAACTATGAATTGCAGATAAAAATAAGAAATAATCCAAAGAAAACATCAAAAGAATGCAAAATCCAACTAAAATCTACACCAAAACTACACAAAACCCTTCCTATATTTAGTGTTACCTTTCCCAGGGTATCCTTTAAGTCTACACCTAGATATATTTTACCTATACCCCACCTGGTTATACGCCTGGCACCGCTTGAGTTCTATGATTAATTCGCCATTCTGTCGCTGATTTTATGACCCAAAATATTTTTGTATTTTAGCTGCTGCTGCTGTCGCCGCAACAGCCGACTGCTGCCCCAAAATAGACTTGGCCAAATGCAAATATCATGCCTGACCCACATTCACAATGATGATGATGGCGCGATGGCGATGGTGGCATTAGTCACCCAAAAGATCTTGCTATAGAGATCTCTATAAACGTACACACAATAAATATATGACTAGACGACTGTGATGCAATCGATGCAGAGACACAAACACACACAATCGATGCACAATCGATGACACATTCAATGCAACACTCGACTGACGTCATTGAGTGCGCTGCAGATAGTTGGATAGAGGTGGGTACGTCATCTGTTGTTTGCACATTCTCTAGGGTTTGCATCGCATACCAAATGAGATCAGTGGATTACACAGCTGTGAATATGATATCATCGTTTGAATGGGGATTTCTGCCATCATTAGTGGATGTTTATATTTGAAACTCACTGCCACACTGCCCCTCTGTTCCCCTCTGCTTCTCCGCTAATTGCTAAATCATATTTGGGTTTCACGCGCTGATCTTTAAGCACCTTCCTCACCTCCAACAATCTTCAGCAATCAACAATCCAGGAAATGTTTTACTCGATCACTTAGCAGGTCATTAAGCAGCTGACGTTTGAAACTAGAGATTCGTATGTAGAGAGAGGAACTCTTTCAGGTGAGTTTAATGCCAAATAAATCAATCAGTGGGTGGAATAACTGACTTGAAACTCTTTTTGTGAATCAACTGAACTATCAGGAAACCATCAAAGTCTCTTTTCATGAAGGAAACATAATTTTCACCCCTCTCCACATGCGTTTTTTATATCGCTTATCTTTTTGTTATCTCTCGCTTGATATTTTTGCGAAAAATTAGCAAAAAACTCTTTGTTCAGGCAGCAATTAAAGCTGCCATCGAGGACACGTAATGCGGCTTTAATGTCACGGACACTGGACGAGGCTAGGGCCTCCTGCTGCTGCTGCTGCTGGCTGCCGTTGTCAAGTGTCCTTGTGCGCTTGCAGTCTTGGGTCTTGGGTGCACACACGTATCCCCAATGGCGAAAAGTTTTGTCAGGTAGCCAAACCTGGTTAAAAATGAAAAGTGACAAGGGGTTTGTTCGGTTCGTGGTGTGGTTTGCACCCAACTGGAGAAGGGACTCGCAGTGGAGCTCCAATGGAATGAATGGAGTGCAAGTGCATGGTTTTCAGCAGTTTAGTTCAAGTTGTTTTCAAGTAACACTTGAAGGACACAACGGGGCGGACAAATAACGACGATGACGACTACGACGACCATTGGACGAACGACCATATGGATTGGGGGAAACAATCGCAGGTCCTTGAAAACAAAAAATAGAAAAAGGGATGGAGTGCAGGAGAGTCAGAGGAGATCATGCAACACCCGCAGGAAGCGTGGCCTGTCAGTGTGTGGCAAATAATGGTGTTGCGTGTCGTTTTTGCCACACAAAACGATGATGATAACCCCACACCACCCTTCGACCGCTCCACGACTTGCAGCAAGCGACAGCTGACTTTTGTGACAGCCAAAAAAATAAAGAAGAGAAAGAAAAACACTGCAGCAAGCAGCAAGAAAATAAACTTCTTCCGGGGGGCAAGCTCTCTGCGGTTGCCTCCTCTCTGCCTCATGAAAAGCGTCACTGACACTTAAATTAAATTTGTTTTCATTCCTGTTTCTGTTTCTGTTTTAGCTGGCAAAAGTCAGCGGCGGGGCGACACTTTCGGTTCGCCTCGGTTCCAGTTTTCAGCTCGGGTCGTGTCTGTGTCCAAAAGAAAGTCACAACCGAAGGCAAAGAAATGCATTTTGCAATAAAATAAATTAAAACGAAAGCAAAGCAAATTGTATACTCCACAACTTGCCCCCAAAACTAAATGTTTACCCGCACCACCCATCTCCCTCCCCTGCCAATGAAGGGCTAGTGCCAAGTAGGAGCTGGTTTTTTGCTTGGGCAGAGAGTAGGTGTCGCTGCAGGAGGAGTGAGTGAGGAGTAGAAATGGGACTGGGCTGGGCGATAGCCCAAAAGACCAAAGTGAGAAGCTGTCGCCTTGCTGTGTCGGACCCTTCATGCTTTTTATGGCATACAGAATGTGGTATAAGGATATTTTATCGATAGAGATTATGAGCAGTAATCGATGTTTAATCGGTCAACGTAAAACTAAATTTAAGTGAATGGAAAAAGAGTGTTTCAATGAATGTTGATTCAAGGTAGAGGCTTAAAATTGAGTCTAATCAATAAGTAATCGATTTTAAATTTAATTTTGAACTGATTTATGATCGATAATATGTCTACTTTCATCTAAATTGGAAGAAACTTGTATAAATTTCTCTGTTATTCAACAAATTTTCCTTATATGGATGGGTTTTCTGTGTAAAAGTTAAGCAGAAGGCAGAAGCTGATTGTAAGCTTAAATCGATAAATGTTGTACTATTTAAGCAATTTATCGATAAACGCCGTACGTTCACAAACAGTACAGAAAAAGAAACACTGGCACTCCCTCTAGCCCTCCTTCCTGCTATTCAAATTTAGCTCTGTATGAAATATTTCTGCATTGTTGCAATATTTTCCGCCCCGTCAGACTTCAAACTGTCATGTGGCAAGTGGAAAGTGGAAAGTGGCAAGGCGGTACCGCTGCTGCTGCTGCTATTGCCCTTGGGGCAGAGGCGTGGCAGACACAACGGCCGCCGCAAGGACAAAGTTGCATGAAATGTAAGTGTGCGGAGGGCGGCAGGGGCAGCAACGATGTTGCACATTTCGAATATCTTCATTTTGTTTGTTGCCCCGAAATCAGTTGGGCATGCCACAAGCGCTGCTGCTGCTGAAACACTTATCCGTGGTATCCGCGTGGCAGCTGCTGCTGCTGCTGCTGCTGCTGTAGTGGCGAGTGGAAACCTGCGTTGGCATGTGGCAAGCCAGCAGCAGCAGCAGCCATCCTTGCAGCTGCGTCAACTTGTGTCAAAAACCTGGCAAGTGCCACTTTGTGGCAGTTGTGTGGCAATGGCCCCCCATAGTCAGTCCCCCAGAGGTCCAGCAACAGTTATGCTGGTGGTGCAGCGCGACCCTCTCTGCCTGTCCCCCGTTTTACCACATGGCAATCAGAGGCGCCTCCTGCTCGCCCCTCCCTGTGTGTGTGTGTGTGTATGTGTGTGTGTGTGTGTGTGGAGGCCACCCACGTGTTCCCTGTCGGGCTTTTTGATTGAAATGTGTTTGTTTGGCTGCGGCTTTTACGCTTGCCAACCCCACCATCTCCTCTCTGCACATACAGCACACAAAAACAATAAATGCGAGAAAGCAGGAATGTTGCACGAACCACCCCACACCCACACTCCGAGAGGAAATCCGTCCCCATGCTACAGCCATGAATCCGTTAAGCAAAGAGCATCGAATGGACATGGACATGGGATGTGGATGTAGACATGGACATGGATGTGAATGTGTGGACATGGAATGATGCTCCTGCTGCTGTTGCTCTCCCTGGTTTTTGTTGCACATTGGTTGTTGATGAGGCACACACACAGACCTATCCGCATCCTCATTCGCATGCAAAACAGCAGCAGCCAAAAGTTGCAGCAGTTGCAACAACAGCTAAACAGTAAAAACTGTTGCCACATTTGCGGTGACAAGGGAATGAAAGATGAAGGGTCTGCAACAACAGACAAAATAAGGTAGAGTTAGAAGTGGAATATGATTCTATAAATGGATACAAAAGATGGATAACATGAGCAGAATAGATGCTAAAGAATTGAGAGCTTGTTTCAGTAATATTTCCTTGCAAATGAGCAAATTATTTAGGGAGAATTTCATATAGCTGCTTCATAGATGAAGGAAAAGCTCTTAAAAAACCATTAAAAATTACCCCATTTTATGCCTTAAACTACCAAAAACTCCACCCTACCGCTTCATTCCTTTTGATAATGGAAAAATAAAATGTCATCACGCCACTTCCCTACATATTTCCACCAAATACGAAAAAACCCACACGAAAAATTAAGAAATTTGTTGAACAACATCATTAAGGGGTCGCAAAACAAACCGTTTTCCTTCTGTTCTTTTCATGTTTTAATTTTCGACCATTCAACTACCCCTTGGCCACATTTGGTGGCATCCCTAGCCCTCCTTTTTGATTGCATTCTTTTTATTATTTAATTTAACCGAATGAAAACACAAAAAATGTCCACGACACCTCGAGAATTCCAGCGAAATGCGGGGCCATGCAACAGCAGCATTATTCCGGGGCCTTGCATCACTCTACTCTGTGTGCTGTGCTGTGTGTGTGCCCCCAAAAAATAAAGAAA